CACACACACACACACACACACACACACACACACACACACGATATAGTATTTAGGCTTCTAAATTAAAATTGTAGCTATAAAAGCAACTTATGCTATTGAGATGAAGCAGTCCATTACTCCCATAATATCCATCCTAGTTATAATTTATAGACATTGTAGCATAACTGGAAGGCATCAGGCTGGGTGATACTGATTAACCCTTTTATCAATTCATTACACACGTGTTTAAACTGCAGTGTTTAATTTGAACTTAAAAAAAACATTCTTTTTAGCAGAATCCAAAGTTGGCAGATAGTTAATGAAGCAGATTTCCTGTAAAATTCTAGGAATGGAGACTATCAAGACGTGAATTACGAAGAACAACTATGAAGACCCTAGGGGAGGGAGTTAAATCAATTTTTTAAAACTTCCTATTTAAAGTCAGTGGAGTTCAGTGCTCTTATCAAATTCCAAGCTTTGGTTGACCGATCCACATCCACTTTTCACGATTTTTGGAAATTTAACACACACACACACACACACACACACCCTTCAGGAAAATTCGAACACTTGCGTCCTATTTTACTTCTTTCTGAGAGATGCTTATATAATAGGGTAATCCTCCGCTGTCAGTGACTGTTCTGCAGATCTCTACATCAGCAATTGTGGAGTGTTTTAAAGACCCAGCGCAGAATAACTACTCCTTAGTAGCAAAACATCTGCAGGCGGGGCTTATCCGCCGCTTTCGAACGATAGCGCATGCGCCGATCGTGCACACTACCCAATACGAATGGCGTCCCCTCGGAGCTCTCTCTTGAGTGCCAAAGTGTTAATGAAGTTATTAAAACTACCGTTACGACGTTTTGTTGGCGTTTCAATTGGACGCTTTCTACAAAGATGTTCGCTTAAACCGAGCCATTGCTCTTATAGTAGTGGTGCCCCGTCCGGAAGTCATTTATTATACACCGCAGATCATTTTGCTTTAAGAGCGTCTCTGAGAAAGGTACTTTTTAATTAATTAGCTCTATGTGGAAGGCAAAACTAGCTTTTATCCTTTTACCCACTTCTTTGGTTATAGGGACTTCTCAGGAGACAGAACCTGGAATTAGACTTCTCCGTCGTCAGATCGCCTCAAGATCGCTTGGTGGAAAAAGTTTTGAAGTTTGTCAACTTTGGAGTCACACAAATCGCCCGTTTCACTCACTCGGAATTTTATTATTCTTCCGTCATATTGGTGGAGAGATTCAGATTTAAAAAGGCAAAATGCTACATCTCAGTGGGAACGTATAATATTGTGTGATAATTCTTGTTATTCCTCCCTCCCCCGCAATAACCTTGCAAGTACAGATATGTCTTTCTGAGGCACTGCAAAGGCTCTTTGAATCCCAGTTGTTTAAGTAATACTTCTTACGATTGTTACAAATATTCATTATTATATACTGCAGAATATAGTATTAAGTGAAACATCTCTATTCTGAGTTGCCTTTTAAAATATTTGCAGAAAAAAAGGAATTTAACTCTGTAAGATTTGTAATTTGGATTGTTGGGCAAATGTCAGTGCTGCTTCTGACTTTTTCATAATTATTAGACTTTTGCAAAAATTACTTTTAGCTCTAAGGGGGTCATTCCCACAACTAAATTAAAATGATATCCACCCAAATTTGTGGTAGCAGAAAATGATAATCATCTAACATTCGCTTTCCCCATTCCTATTTTGCCACAGGTATTCCTTGGAAGAGTTAATTCCCATTTGACCTTTCAACTACTCTTCTTGGAATTTGCTTACTATTTGCAAGTTATTTTTAAATACCTTATGGCTTTGTTGCTCTTCTAAAAATGGTAAAATTGCATTCAAAGTCAGTCTAGCAAAAGCTGATAGGCACCACTGTACTCTGCAGTACAGGAATGACAGGCTCTTCCTGTCCCTCCTGCTTCATCTCACAGCTCCTGTTACTTTGCTGTTTAGCCACTGTTGACTTCAGTGATCCTCAATCTTTTGGACACCAGGAACTGGTTGTGTGGAGAGTGGTTTTTCCAGGGACCGGAAAGAGTATGGTTTTATGTGCTGCCTGCATCCTGCAGATGGGACTTTGCTTGTTTGTGCATACCAGTTGCTGGCATGCCAGGCCCTGGACCCGGGGTTGGAACCCCTCATTTACGTCTCTGACCAGAGATTGGGCTAAAGAGAGGCCCCAGATTGGAAATGATCTCCTGCTTCCTAGAGCAGACAGTGTTGAAGGATAGAACTTAGGGACTGGAACAGAGGACATTGTAGTGAGGCCAATAGAAGTTAAATATTTAGTTACAATTTGTTGTTTTTTTTAGTAAGCATTTTTATTAATTAAAACCTGACTGCTTTAGAAGAATTGGGGCAGCATAATGACTCATTAGTTAAGATGCTAGTCTTAACATCTGTAAAGCCAACAGGTCAGGTTCAAAATTTGAGCACCACGAGATGGCTCAACCCATCTCGTGGTGCTCAAATTACCCCAGTAGTGCCAACCTAACCATTTGAAAGTATGCAAGTGTGAGTAGGTAAATAAATATCACTTCAGTGGGAAGGTTAATGCATACTGTATTTTCATGATGGACACATGATGATAGAAGCATCTCCCAGACAACAAAGGCTCGCTCAGTTGAGAATAAGAGATGAGCACCATCCCCTTGAGCTGGACATTAGTAGACAGGGCGAACCTTTAAAACCTTAGAAGAATTAAAAATACTAATATGCAACCAATATTAATTCATTTAATACCAAAGTATGGAAAAGCCCCTATGTTTGCTAATATTGGCTTATACAGTAATGCCATTTAATATAGTGTGTTTTAAACTTGGCAACTTTAAAATGTGTAAGTTTGAGCAACACAAATGTAATGCGTCTGTATTTAGAAGTAACTTTGATGAGTTAATGGATCAACTTCAGTGGTGAAATTCTTTTTTTTTTTATTACCAATTCTGTGTGTGTGGCTTGGCGGGCGGTGGCAGGGGAAGGATACTGAAAAATCTCCATTCCCTCCCCACTCCTAGAGGAAGGATACTGCAAAATCTCTATTCCCACCTTACTCTGGGGCCAGCCAGAGGTGTTATTTGCTGGTTCTCTGAACTACTCAAAATTCCCGCTACTAGTTTTCCAGATTTTGTCAGAACCTGCTGAATTTCACCCCTGGTCTTCTTCCTATGTAACGAAATACATTATTACAATCTTAAAATATTTAATGTATTTTTTAAAAAACCTAGGAGGGAGGGGAACCCCTTTCCCCCCAACTTATACTTGTTTTGAGAAATACGTTTAATAAGTGACAGATGTGAGATGGGCAATTATACCAAGCAAATATTTTTTTAAAAAAAACACTCTAGCATCTTTCCCCTCAGCCTTCTTTTATGTTCATATGTTTTATCTCTTAGTAGTAGAAAATTCTAGAAAAAAGCTTCTGCATATTGACTAATTGACACGGAAAGAACCATTTGTTTGAAAATTAGATCAATTCAGTATGTACTTAATATTTTTACCTGAACAAAATTTTTCCGTTTAGGCTGCATAGTTGTAATACCGGTATTTGGTGTATTTAGTTAAATGGTTGCACATGCTGCTTAGCCTTCTTCACACATTAAAGAGGTGCCTTGTTCTAATGTAGCTTTCACTACTCAAGGATAGAAAGGCAACAGTTGCTTCATTTGGAAACAATGTCAAAGATGTGTAGAAGGTTGTGTTCTGCATGTCAGTAGTTGAAGTAATGGCAGTAGTTGTAAACTGGACTAGAAATGAAATCAAACCAAATAACAGTTATTGTTCAAGAGTTTATTATATATCCATTATTACTCACTGATTATTGAATATAAGATGTGATTGTTACTTTCTTTTTATTAAAAATGATTTGAGCATTATATTACATAATCAAAGTGAATTTATTAAGGATTACAGACTTAGTTTATTAAGGATTTCTCTATCACATTTTTTATTAAAGTTTTTTTATTTTTTATTTTCAAAACAAACACAACACATAACATCTTCCTTTTTTATATACTGTAGAAAGTGTATCAGTTGGTTACAAAAGACTTTCGTCCATCTCTTTCACAGTCATCAAGCATATTCATATTAACTCAAGTATTTTAACTCAGATA